TCATAAAATTAGGATTAATTTATTTATTCCGACTAAACTGACTCTGTTAACTGTAACAAGGTTATACCCTGAAGCGGAATCAATCACTTTTTCCTTCTTCCTTACACATATATGTATATTTATCCTTCTATTTATTATTGATGGAGGGGATGATCCGACGCATGCGCACAACGTTCAAAGTACGCTGAGAAAGAGAGAGAAGTATATTCCCGCACCGTGGTTCTGGGACATGGACTTCTCTCTCATCTAGCCATATAGTAGTATTACATATATGCATGTAACATATATTTATTGTATGTAATATGTGTTAAGTAAATGCGTGCAATAATAAAAATATTAAATAATAGTATAAATTTATACAAATATTAATAATTATTACATTATTTCCGAATATAATTTAATAGAATATAATTTTAAGTTAAAACGTGATTTAAAACGTTGCGCTGCGATTCTTTTTGACCCTCGAATGGCGGCACATCCGGCGCGTTGTCTCATCCCTTACTAAAGGATCCCTAGTGCATCCAATCGAATTCGCCATCAGTTAAGTGTTTGTCACACTAGAGTCCCTATAAGAGAGTTGTATCAATCTTGTATAAATTTTCATTGGCTTTGAAGTAAAATGGCGGAACCAATCATCGATGCTGTAATATCTCCACTTTTGAGTAATGTGAACGCGGTGGTTTAGATTTTAGAAGTTGTAAGAGTAGAATTTACGTTAAATTATATAATATTGACAAGTAGACAAAGTTAGAATGTCACTTTCGACCACATAATATCTGTGGCCCGTATTCAGAACGCGTTAACAACGAAGTTAGCGCACTAACATGCTATAGTTTACGTCACGTATACTATAGAATTTCAGAGATAAAAGCGCGCTTTTATCGATAAAAGTGCGTTCTGAATACGGGCCTGTATCTTCTATATATTTTTAATTCGAAAGCTTTATAATAATGTATAGACTTACTTATAATTTTGATATTGTAAGAGTGGGTCGAGAAAAATATCTGGACTCCACCGGTGCCGAGACTTAAACCGAGGCCTCGTTTCCGTTCGTATTAGCAAGCTTTCGTCTCGTCTGCCACCATGATTTTACGCTCTTCGTAGTATAAGGTCTAGCGTCCCTTTCTGCCAGAGTCCCAATTAGACGCCATTTTACTTCAGATTGACACAACCATAGACTTATAAGATAGACGGAGCGTTCATACGTGAGAAGTTGAAGACAACATTGAAGGACAGCTCTACTCCAGACATAGTTGTGTTTCTCTCTTTCACAGTGAGCGGTGGGGGATCAATCAGCTTGAGCGTATTGCGTAATGTCACAACTTTTGGTTTGTGTGCTGAGAGGTTATAAATTCGAGTGTGTTTTGGAAAGATATAATATTT